GATCTCTGGCTGTGAAATTATACCTTGATTTTCTCTGAATTTTTAAATCTGCTATGTTGTTGCAGACCTATCTGTGATAGGGACATTTCCCCTGGAGCCTCTGCTTTTGGCCACATGAAGCTTTGCAATGACGTTGGAGAGCGAAGCCCCTTCTACGCTCGACTTGGCCTCTGCACCGGTCCTGTGCCAGCACGGGCCTGAGCAGTGTCCTTCACGTGCTCTCTGTGGCGAAGCCTCCCGAGCAGGCATCACCCAGATACTACCCACCACATGCTTCTTGCCAGGTTAATGGTTTCCTCACAGGTGGCTGGCATTTGCATTATGGCAGGAAGTTTATTTACTAGACTTTACTTTTTAGAGTGGTTTTAGGTTCACAGCAAAATTAACTGCAAAATACCAAAAGTTCCCACATACTCCCTGTCCCCACGAATGCGCAACCACCCCCACTATGGACATCCTTGCAGCACAGTAGTACATTTGTTACAGTTCATAAACCTTGTTAACCTGTCATTATCGCCCAAAATCCATAGTTTACATCAGGGTTTGCTATTGGTGTTCTGCATTCTATGAGTTTTAACAAACGTATGACACATGTTCATATTACAGCATAATACAGAGTAGTTTCACTGCCCTGAGAAGCCTCTGCTCTGCCCACTCATCCCTCCCACCCCCACACCTGGCGACCACTGACCTTTTTTACTGTCTCCACAGTTTTGCCTTTTCCAGAAAGTCGTATAGTGGAAATCACACAGCATGTAGCCTTTTCAGATGAACTTCTTTCACTTAAATATGCATTGAAGGGCCCTCCACATCTCTTCGTGTCTTGATACCTGATTTCTTTTTAGCACTGAAAAATATGTGTGGATATATCACAGTTTAACTATTCACCTACTAAAGAATATCTTGGTTGCTTCCAAGTTTTGGTAATGAATAAAGCTGCTACAAACAGCCATATAGAGGTTTCTATGTGGACATGTTGTCAATTCATTTGGGTAAGTGCCAATGATCATATAGTAAGGGTACGTGGAGCTTTGTAAAAAACTGTCTTATTTTACATTCCCACCAGCAATGAATGGGAGTTTCTGTTGTTCACGTCCTTATCAGCATTTGGTGTTGTCAGTGGTCCATATTTTGGCTATTCGAATTGGGATGTAGTGGTATCTCATTATTCTAATTTGCATTTCCCTGATGACATGTGATGTGAGACACCTTTTTATATGCTATTTGTCATGCGTGCATCTTCTTTGATGAGGGGTCTGTTAAGGTCTCTGGTCCATTTTTAAATTGGGTTATGTTTTTATTATTGAGTTTTAAGAGTTCTTTGTATATTTTGAATAATGGTTCTTTATCAGATATGTTTCTTTGCAAATATTTTTAATTTTAATGAAGCCCAGCTTATCAATTATTTCTTTCATGAATTATGCCTTTGGTGTTGTATCTAAAAAGACATCACCATATTCAATGTCATCCAGATTTTTCTCCTGTGGTATCTTCTGGGAATTTTATAGTTTTACGTTTTACATTTAGGTCTATGATCCATTTTGAGTAAATTTTTATAGAGGGTGTAAGGGCTGTATCTAGATTTATTATTATTATTTTTGCATGTGGTTGTCTAGTTTGTTTCAGCTCCATTTTTTCTGG